TCGCGAACCCATTGGCGGGGCATCGCGTTTTCGTGGATGAATCCGGCAGGCAAGGCCAAGCCGACGGCACGGCAGAGTGAGCTCACGCTTGACGGGAGGCAGGCAAGCAGGCAGGCAGGGTCCAGGCAGGGTGCAGGCAGCAAGGAGTGGCTTACGAGTTCGTATCTTAGCCTTTTTGGTGAAGCCACTGGTGGAAAGATGGCTGGGACATGCTGATCCCTCGAGAGGGGGAGGGGTGGGCCATTATATCTTATGACTGCAATGCTTCTGTCTCTCTACCTTGTCTTGTGTCTTCGATGTCGCTCTCCCTGTGCTGTTCAGTAACTGTGCTGTTCAGTAACTGTGGTGTTCAGTAGCTCTGCTAGTGATAGAGTCAAGATGCCGAAGGAACCTAAGGTACCATATAGCCTGACTGACAGGCAAGGTAGCTTGGGGTACCTAGGTACCTAGCAACTAGGTAGGCAGGCCACCCCGCCTTCCCAGTTCCCAGCAGCGGACCCCAGCCCATGGCAGGGATGACCCGCGCCACACCTGCTCCTGCCCCTCGCCATGTTCCTGCCCCTCGCCATGTTCCTGCCCCTCATGCAACTCGTCCATCGATCGCCCTTGCCCGTTGCGAGCCGGCAGTCGCCCTTGCCCCGCGGCCGGCACCGGGGAAGGAAGGGCTGGTGCAGCAACGTCAGTTGCCCCTCGCCCCTGCTCTCATGGTGCTATCTAGAGAATCACAGCAAAAACTGCTTTTTTGTTTCCCTTTACATCTACATCTACATCTACAACTATCTGCCTCCATCTGCTTCACTGCTTCAGTCTGCCTCCCAAGCTGCATACTTCTCTCTGTCCAGGGTCTGGGGACTGACCTCGGCTCCTCTCCTCCGGCACTGCTTTTGATTCTTCCCCACCACTCTTTCGCCTCATCGTCCTCAATCCACTGCTCATTCCAGCTTGAGTATCCGACCACCATTCGCCGTCACCGCCATATTCACCTCTGGGCATGCGATTTGTCAATACAAGGATCATCTCATCTCACCTGCGAATCACACGACCCACGCAAGCGCAACAACTACGACGACCATTGCCGGCGCGCCTGCAACCTTCATCCCGATCCCCGTCACGCTTCCTCACCACAATGGCCGATCAACCTCTGCCCCAGCGTCGCTTCCAGCGGCCCGTCGTCTTGTGAGCCCTTGCCGTCTTGAGATGCTGCCGTGCTGCAGCTTGCAACGCCTTGCAACGCCTTGCAACGCCCGTTACTAACGAACGCCCAAAGCATCTGCGACATCCAGGAAAGGTTCCGCCCCGCCATTTGGAACTTGGACGCCGTCATCGCGACAACGGCCAAGCTGCTCCGCGCCGCCCACATCCTGCGCATCCCCGTCCACACGACGACCCAGAACGGTGCGCGCCTCGGCCCCACCGTCTCGGAGCTCGAATCCCTCCTGACGCCGTCCGACCTCGTCCACCCCGTCGTCGACAAGACGCGCTTCAGCATGTGGGTGCCCGGCGTGGCCAAGCATTTTGAGAGCGGCGACAAGGCCGAGGTCATCCTCGTGGGTATCGAGTCGCACGTTTGCATCACGCAGACGGCCCTTGACCTCATCGCCAACGGGCACAAGGTCTACGTCTGCGCCGACGGCGTCAGCAGCTGCAACAAGGAGGAGGTTGCCGTTGCGCTGGCGAGGCTCAGGGGCGAGGGCGCCACGGTCACGACGAGCGAGAGCGTGCTGTACGAGCTCATGGGCGATGCCAAGGTTGCCGAGTTCAAGGACATCGTCGGCATAGTCAAGGAGACGAGCAAATCGACCAAGGACAGTCTGCAGGCGTTGCTGTGACATTGGAGGTAGTTTGCAAGCATTCTCTTGGGTGGAGGTGGCTGTTTGGTCTACCGGTCTATTCTATGCGTTGGTCATATACACAATGCATTTCTCTTCACCGTCGCCGAGTCCCTCGCACGTTGTCCCGCTTTTGAGCCATGTGACCCATCATGGATCAAGATTATAGATCGAGATCACGTATTGAGATCACGCCTCGTCGACCAGGCTCACCTTGGCCGCGGCAAGCCAGGCCAGATCCCCGTCCACCGTCATCTGCCTGACCGTCGCCAGCTCGTCGAGGAAGGCCGGCACAAAGCTGCCAGGCCCCTTGACGTCGTCCCGCACAGCAGCCCTCTCGGCGGCAATCTCATAATGCAGCAGCGCCGCCACGACGGCGGCGAGCCTGTCGCTGTCGCCGTCGCCGTCGCCATCGCCGGCGGCGGCGCGCTGGGCCGCGACCATGGCGCTGACGGTGGTGCCGAGACAGCAGCCGGTGCCCGTGACGGCGGCGAGCAGGGGGTGGCCGTTGGCGACGGCAAAGGTGCGCGTGCCGTCCGAGACGTAGTCGACGGTGCCCGTCATGAGGACGATGTTGCGCTCGCGGGCCGCGAGGCGCCGCATGTGCATTTTTTTGGCAGCGGCGGTCAGCGTCTTCGAAGACGAGACGACGCCTTTTTGCTG